CCCCCGCCGCTCTCTCACCAGCACCACGCCCACCACCACCGCCTCCCCCTTTCCCACTACCCCCCTCCCCATAACACGACCACCTCACCAACCATCCCCCCGCCTCCCAGAGACCGTGGGAGATGTCCTCCCCTCTGATGACGCCCCAGGTGGCATGGGGCAGAAAAGCGCTTCAGGGAGCTGCCACCCCCTTCCCACAATTCGGCGAGATGATCCGCGCAGATGCAGGCGTGCGACGGATCTGGAGGAGAGAGCTGAAGCGGGATTTGAACCTTTTACCCTTCCCCTCCCCCTTCCCCCTTTCTCCCCCTCCCCCTCTTCTCCGCCCCTCTTGACCCCCCTTTTTTTCTCTCCATGGCTCCTGGGACCGCGTGGCAGGAATGCGGGTTGGCAGCGTGGCGTGTAATAATAATAATAATGATGATTTTTTTACGAATATAAACGATTCGTTTCTGTTCTCGTGAGGATTGGCTTGCATCAAGATGGCTCATGAACCTTTCTTCCTTCTCCCCTCCTTCTCGCCCCCTCTTCTCTCTTACCTCTTCTCCCTCACCTCTTCTCTGTTTGTGCTACTATTTTTTCCCCCTCCCCCGTTGGTATGCCATGGATGGCGTCTTTATGCTTTCTGTCGATTGTCGGAGAAGCACTTCATTATTTGGCTTTCGTATCTCATCGGAGTGCCCGCCTTGATCACATATGTTTGCTTTCAATACCTGATCTATTGGAATATCGAAATGTCGTGTTGCAAAAGTTTTCAGTAGGTATACTATGGATAGCAACTTTGTGCTTTCTGTCGATTGTCGGAGAAATGCTTCATCATTTGGCTATTGTATCTTATTGAAATGCCGCCTTAATCGCATACGTTTGCTTTCAATACCTGATCTAATGGGATATCGAAATGTCTTTTCGCAAGGATTTCGATGGAATGATGTGTTGGTCGCAATTATGCCGTAATAATGTGTGTATCCTTGGTATGTTATCCAAGATTCGGCTCTCCGAGTTATCTTCTTTGCCTGTTTTTTAGAATGAATGGCTGGATCAATGCCCGCGGAGAAATGGCGAGGCATCACCACCCCCCTTCGACACTGTAAAATCACCGTTAACGCAGAATCGGCCTACTTCAACCGATAAACAGCCCGATGGTTATCCTTACCGATCGGACATACCAAATGGTTTTTACCCCGCCGCGCTTGTGTCGCCTCCCGCTCCTTGCTCTTTTCTCACAGTGTGCTGACGATTGTTCAGTCGGAGTCGCACGAGCATGACGTGTCGTGCTCGTGCACAGCACATGTGAAACGCACATGCTACACACACACACACACACACACACACACACGCACACACACACAGAGGAACATACAGACCCATATTCATCGAAAGATTCATTCTACAGGAAGACACATTGCCCAGTAACGACGGGTCAGTTGAAGCTGCTGCGCGCAGCAAGTTCTCAAGGGCCCCCAATCTCAAGTCAAGGGAAAAAATTGCAGGCCCGCTCTCACTTAGGTCGGGCAGGGCCTTTTTTCACAACATTGCTGAGGGGGTCATTCCTCACACCTTTATGCAGTGGAGGCTTACTCGCTGGTAAATTCAAACTCCCGTACTCTTTAGTATATGATGATAGTGACACTTGCTGGCAGGGTTTGAGAAGTTGGTTATTGCCAAAGCAGGGTAAATTCCATTTGTTTTGTGAAATTTGGTTCTCTAGTGAGTGCCTCGCTTCACTCTTGTTAGAGTGAGATCGGCAATTGGTTTGACCTTGTAGTTGCAGCTATGGGCATGAATTGGGTAAAGCACGTCAAGGTATGCAACTATCAGGCTATGTCTCTGCCTCCTGCCTCCATTGATGTTGGCTTTGGCTTTGGCTTTGGCACTGGTTTGGGCTTTGGTGTGGCTTTGGATCTGACTTGGGATTTGGCTTTGGCTCCTGTTCGGGCTTTGGTTTGGCTTTGGCTCTGGTTTGGACTTCGACTCTGGCTTGTTTATGCACAGACGAATGATGTGAAGAGGGCTCTGCGTTTGGCGGAAGGATTGCGATCGGAGCTACAGAGGGTCACAGAATTGAAACGTATTGTGGAGGAAAAACTGAAGGCAGAGATTGAGAGTCAGTCTTCACTTCACCAAGTCATAAATGCCAAGGACGAAGAGGTCAATAAGGTGAGCACACTTCCTCTTAACGGGTGAGCACATGTCACTGTTAAAATGACTGTTCTCCTGTTTTTTTTCTAGAGCTCCGCTTGCTGTTATTTTCATGGGTGCTGAGAGGAACTTGAGACATCAGTTTTTATTTCCACCACCGCTCATACATGTTGCTCACCCAAATCACTTGAAGCCTGGAATTTGAAAAGGTAAGAAGTACTAAAAACTATAAGGGTAAGTTTGTTGTCCAAAGGCACCATTTGAATTTTGAAATCGGAAGACTTTCCGGACGCGAAGCTGCTCTAGCGCTGTCCGGTAAGCACTAACACTACCCGAGTACGAAGCGCTCGGAGTGACGCGCCATCTAGAAGTGCACAGAGGGTAGATGCATGAGTGAAGGGAAGAGGCACAGGGGAAGGCGGCAGGGAAGTACGAGGGCAGAGTGCTCACGCACAATGACTTGTGGCGAGTACGGGTGAGGACCAGCTCTGGGGTGTGGCGAGGAATGGTGGGAGGAGAAGGAATTTCCAAGGAAGGGAGGAAGGGGAGAAAGGAGGTGGGAGATGCAACACCACCTAGGCATGAGCAGCCAGGATGGAAACAAGCAATCTGGAAAAAGGTGGGTGGCAGATCGAGAAGCACTCTTTCTATCTTGGGAAAGGCGAGGAAGGAAGGGGTCGTCAGCATCGCAGTCGGACTCAACTTTAGAAACTGCTAAGAAAGACAAGTTTCATTATTCGGGACATCCATTAAAATTGGAATTATACAGAGAAGATTAGCATGGCCCCTGCGCAAGGATGACATGCATAAATCGAGAAATGGTCCAAAATTTTCCGAAAAAGAAAAAGAAAAAGAAAGATGAGTTTCATTATTGCCAAAAAAAAGTAAGGCTGACCTTAAATTGGCCAAAGGCGCTCCTTTAAACCACATGTACACGGCCCCAGCCTTGCAGAAAGTTTTTCTTGCTAGAAGCAAAACTCGAAGGGGCCGCGCAGCTTGGGGCGCCGTTGAAAAAAAAGTTTGGTGGCATCCGAAGTGGTGCGGGTTTCATGCTGACACCCGTGGGCCGATGTTTGGTGGTGTACTGGTGCTTTAAAGCACTCACAAGGCCTTCCAGATTGCCTCCGAGATGCGGATAAATTGGTGAAAACGGTTACCTGGCCGTCGACAGGACTGCAAATAGATCCTCCCCAAAGCACACCGGAGAGAATGAACTGGACACGTGGAAGTGAGCCCCTCAGATTCTCGGAAACTCAAGTACTGAAAGCAGGCCCCTCCCACTCAATGGACCCGGCGCTAATGAGCAGGATGATTGCCAAACTGGGAATTTGGTCCAGCTTGTATCATCAATTTTTGGGGGGCCTCTAGTCTTGAATGTATCGATATTTTCCATGCTGTGGTATGTGAAACGGTATTCACCTGTCGCAGTAGCGGATGCAGATCCCAGGCCTCGATCCCTAGTCCTCACCTTACCTGTGTACAGTATCTGTGTCGACCCCGAGAGTTGAACCCGTGACCTGTGTATTCGCAGCAGTTAGTAGGCTGTCGTAGGTCTGTAGGTTGTAGGGATTCGAGCTGTAGACCTGTTGGTTGTTGGTTTTAGCAGGTCCTAGGAGTCGTAGCTGTAGCTCCTCCGAAGGGTCAAAGTCGTAGCTGCTAACGTCCTGAAAGGTCAAGGTCCTAGCTGCTACAGTACCGAAAGGCCAAGTCTACGGACTTCCGGAAGGTCCGGAAGTGGCCTTTCAGACCCTGCTCACGTTTAGGTAGAGGCAAGTGGGCGAGTGGTGAAGTCCACCCTTGCTGAGTCAGCGGTACCAGTCCCAGTCAGTCCTAGTCCAGTCAAGCAAGTACCGTATGGGACTGTGTGCACCACGGGCATGGGAAAGGGGCAGACCAACGAGATACAGAAGTATAAATCAAGAGGCAGCGCCCAGCCATTCATTCCTTCCTGCATAAGCCATGCGGAAGCGCTGCCACAGCGACTTGTGCGAGGTGGTCTGCAATGAGCCCGAAGACGAAGTGGGCGAGAAGGAGAGCTTAGCCTTAGCGATAGGAGTAGTAGCGGCCATCGCCGCCATAGCTGATAGGGGTGTGTGTGTGTGTGTGTGTACAGTGTGACGCCTGTCTCTTATACACATCTAGATGTGTATAAGAGACAGGAGTAGTAGCGGCCATCGCCGCCATAGCTGATAGGAGAGTGTAACGTGTATGTGTGTGCGTGTGTGTAGTGTGATGCGTGTGGGATATCCAGGGTGATCCGGTGTGTGTGTGGACAGCAGAGTGGGTTGGCGACGAACAGAGAGTTGTACAGGCGCTGTTGTGCCATAGCTATTTGAAGTGAGCTTGTACCTGTACTGCGTTCTTGGCTACCATATCTCTGAGTTCTGAGTGGGCGCTTGTCGCCAGTTGTTGCGCAGCCTGTTTACATGCATGTGAAGTGTGAAAGATAGTGAGTCTGATTGCAATTGGTATGGTAGCTGGTACCCGCTATTCCATGCGCCATCGCCATTCAGGAGAAGTCCACCATAGCTGACCTGCGGAAGAAGAAGGATGCCGCGCTTACCTGCAAGAAGACAACGGCGGCGCGCACGCACACACACACAGAGAGAGAGAGAGAGAGAGAGAGAGAGAGAGAGAGAGAGAGAGAGAGAGAGAGAGAGAGAGAGAGAGAGAGAGAGA